GAGAGAGAAAGAGGGAGGGAGAGAGAGAGTTTTTTGGGGGTGAAGTGGGATGGGGGGTTGGTGTTTTACGGCGCTCGCAACTGCATAAGATCATATGAGCGCCCGGGACACATTAAATATTCTCAGTTGGTAGGAAATTTTGAATTTTGCCTGGGTGGCGGCCGAAGCCTGCTCTTATCGATTTTGGTCAACCAAGGGTTTTTTAATGTATGCAAACTTGCTCACAGGACCTCCGAAATTTTCCAGTTTTATCCGTGAAGGCAAGGTGTAGACCTTCCCTACCTTAAAATCAGAGGAGTTGTTAAAAGACAGCAGTAAGAAGGAGCCAAAGAGTAGCAGTAGAAAGGCTGCAGAAAGAGACAGAAGCCCAAAGGAGGGGGCAGGGGAGGCGAGGGGAGTGGGGGCAGAAAGTTGAGACGAAAGCAAAAGACAGAAGATTGTTAAAGAGCAGAAAAGGATGTGAAAGGAGAGAATTTCAATGAAGAAAAGTTTCCTGTTGCTATCCGGACTCGAATCCAGGACTTATAGAATTGGGGGCGAACACTTTAACCTCTAGGCCACGAGAGACTCCCCCCCCCCCCCCCTTCCTTCCTTTCATTTATTTTTGTAGTTTCCTTCCCACGCTATAATAATATACAGAAACAGCACTATTATTACGACGTATTTAAAACATGCTTTGTAAACACAAACACTGCAGTTTATTTTCATTTCGGCAAAACATATCAAGAAAGGGTTTAAGGCACGCAACTTAATGTTTTTATTTTTTTAAACAAAACCTGCTTTTTGAGGGATGTTCAACTTTGTATAAAAATACAATATTAAAACTCGGATGACTAACACAAAGAAGTACAAAGAAATTCAGTGAAAAAAAAAGACACAAAACACGCACGGCCCGAATAACTTCTAGTTATTAATATTCAATCATGTCAAAAGCATCTATCTTAATCATATTCATACCAGCCAACCATAATCTTTTTCATCAGCCTTTAATGGCCCAAACAAAGCGCGATACATATCTCCTTGCAATAAAACATAACCTGAAGACATCTACTCGTCCTTTTTGTTTCTTTTTTGAACGTAAGACATCCACGGGGTCTTTCTTGTGTTTTTTTCCACGTTTCGCTTGTTCAAAGTATTTCCCCTTGCAGTGTCTTCAGTAAGGAGTGTAATTCGAGTACATAGTAATGTATTATGAGTCGTTGGTGAAGAATATGTCAGGTTTACAGAGAGCCGTGAAAATTAGAATCTAGACACAGTCAAGTTTGTTCTATTTGAGTCACGACTTTCTTAAGCCCC